GTTTTTCGAGACAGGGTTTCTCTGTGGTTTTGGAGCCTGTCCTGGAACTAGCTCTTGTAGACCAGGCTGGTCTCGAACTCACAGAGATTCGCCTGCCTCTGCCTCCCGAGTGCTGGGATTAAAGGCGTGCGCCACCATCGCCCGGCCTTTTAAATATTTTTTATGGTTTATTTTAACTTTATTTAATGTGCATTGGTGTGAAGGTGTCAGATCCCCTGTAACTGGATCTTCAGACAGTTGTGGGCTGCCATGTGGGTGCTGGGAATTGAACCTGAGTCCTCTGGAAGAGCAATCAGTGCTCTTAACCACTGAGCCATCTCTCCAGCCCCAGTTACTTTTCTATTGCAATGTTGAAATTCCATGACCAAAACAACTTAAGGAAGAATTTGTGTTAGCTTACACTCCCAGAGTGTGAAGAGTTCTTTATGGTAGGGAAGGTGTGGCTTAGGAGTAGGAGCAGGAAGCTGGCTGCAAATTATACAGGAAGAAAGCAAAGAGAGAACAGGAAGCAGGACGAGGCTATAAATATTTTCTTTTTTTAATATATATATATTTATTTATTATGTATACAATATTCTGTCTGTATGCCTGAAGGCCAGAAGAGGGCGCCAGACCTCTTTACAGATGGTTGTGAGCCACCATGTGGTTGCTGGGAATTGAACTCAGGACCTTTGGAAGAGCAGGCAATGCTCTTAACCACTGAGCCATCTCTCCAGCCCCTATAAGTCCTTTCAAAGTCCACCTAAGTGATGGTCTTCCTCCAAAAGGCTCTACCTCCTGAAGATTCCATAACCTCCCCAAACAGACCATCAGCTGGGGACCAAGTGTTCAAGTCCATGAGCTAGCCTATGGGGACATTTTTCATTCGACTACCACAATACCCTGCCACCCTTTCTCTCACGCATCCCCCCCTGCTCTCTTATTATGACATGAGTACTCACACTCCAGTTAATGTATTGTGCCTTGCTATAGCCCCAAAGCAAGAGCCAGCTCATTAGTCTGGCTTCTCCAAAGCTGCAGGCCAGAATAACCCTTCCTTTAGATAGACCCCTCAGGTAGTTTTTGTGACAGACTGATAACTAATACTAGTTAAGCTCCAAATGATTAAACCATACTTTCGAAGGGCTGGGAATACAGCTTGGTTTGTGGAGTGCTTGCCTAGCATGCATAAAGCCCTGGATGTGCTCTT